AATGATTGCTGTATGTGGCATAAGTAGGTCACAGGGCCAGAAAAGGAGTTTAAAAAAATGCAAATTTAAAAATTTTCTTGTCCTAAAGCTTTGATATTTGGTATATGATATTATCTGTAGGTCTTTACTTAAGTTGTTCAAATGATATCCATCATAGCCCTGGGGTCAAAATTGGCCCCCACATAGGTTTTCCTTATATGTATATAGAAGAACATTGTGAAGTGGATTTCTTCCAAGATTATTCAAATTATAGTATTCTAATTATATACCAATTAATATTATAATTATAATACTAATTATATTGTGTATGATATCATCTGTATGTCCTCTACAAAAGTTGTTCAAATTTTGTTTTCCTTGTATGAAAAACTTTAAAAATCTCCTTGTCTGAAGAATCACAAGGCTAAGAGCTTAGATATTTGTTATATAATATCATCTTAAAGGAGCTCCACTGAGGCCTTACAGGCAATTTGGTGTCCAAAAAAATGTAAAAAAATTTCAACACATATCACTATATTTTAACTAAAATAACAATAATTTACATTATAACCAACCCTTTATCAACAATTATTCAAGAAAATGCATTTTCACATTAGCCTCTTTTGCAAAAATGAAAGTTGGTTTTCCCAGACATGTATCTTCTGATGCCCACAATTCAATGGGTATGACTAAAATAGTCGCAACGAAGATTGTTTGGTGCAACGGAGTTAACGGGGCAATATGACTTTTGATTTTTAGCTTGACTATACAGGTATATGGAGAGCTGTCCTACTCGCCCCGGCGTCGGCGTCCGCGTCCAGATTTCAGATTAAAGTTTTGGTGCAGTAAAATATTTTTTACTATAACTTTGTTATTTCTTAAGGTATCAACTTCAAACTTCAAATATGTGTTCCTTATCATCAACCACATCTTATGTGACAAGGTTCATAACTCTAGCACCAATATTTTCAGATTTATCTCTCCTTGAACTTAGAATTTTCCTCAAAAAATACTATTTTTTACTGTTACTTCTTTATTTCTTAAGGGATCAACCTCATACTCCAAATATATATATCTTATCATCATCCCCATCTTATGTGATAAGGTTCATAACTCTAGCACCAATATTTTCAGATTTATCTCCCCTTGAACTTAGAATTTTCCTCTAAAAATACTATTTTTTACTGTTACTTCTTTATTTCTTAAGGGATCAACCTCATACTTCAAATATATGTACCTTATCATCATCCCCATCTTATGTGACAAGGTTCATAACTCTAGCACCAATATTTTCAGATTTATCTCCCCTTGAACTTAGAATTTTCCTTAAAAAATATTATTTTTTACTGTTACTTCATACTTCAAATATATGTACCTTATAATCATCCCCATCTTATGGGACAAGGTTCACAACTCTAGCACCAATATTGCCAAGATATTTGGCATGAAACATTGTGTGGTAGACCTCTACCAGATATTTGGTCTATGGTATCATCTATAGGTCAAAAACCAAAGTTGTTCAAATTTTGACCCTAAAATTAAAATCGGCCCCGCCCTGGGGGGTCATAGGTTTTTCCTTATATGTATATTGTAAAACCTAAAAAAAATCTACTTCTCTGAATTTGTAAAGGCTACAGATTAGATATTTGGCATGAAACAATGTAAAGTTGACCTCTACCAAGATTGTTCAAATAATGGCCCTCGGGTCAAAATTGGCCCTGCCCTGGGGGGTCATTGATTTTCATTATATACATATAGTGAAAACTTGAAAAATCTTCTTGTCTGAAAGTAAATGGCCTAGAGCTTTGATTTTTGGTATATGGTATCATCTATGGGTCCTGTACCAAACTTGTTCAAATTTTGTCCCTTGTGTCCAAATTGGCCCTGCCCCGGGGGGTCATTGATTTTCCCTATATGCATATAGCAAAAAGTTAAAAAATCTTCTTTTAAAGAACCAAAAGAGCTAGAGCTAAGATATTTAGCATGAAACATCTTCTAATGAGCGTCTACCAAGTTTGTTCAAATAAAAGCCCTGGTGTCAAATTTGGCCCCGCCCCAGGGGGTCATTGATTTTATCTATATATATATATAGTTAAAACTTAAAAAATCTTCTTTTAAAGAACTCAAAGAGCTAGAGCTAAGATATTTAGCATGAAACATGTTCTAATGGGTGTCTACAAGTTTGTTCAAATAAAAGCCCTGGGGTCAAAATTGGCCCCGCCCCAGGGGGTCATTGATTTTCCCTATATGTATATAGTAAAAATTTCAAAAGTCTTCTTTTAAAGAACTCAAAGAGCTAGAGCTAAGATATTTAGCATGAAACATGTTCTAATGGGTGTCTACCAAGTTTGTTCAAATATTAAAAGCCCTGGGGTCAAAATTGGCCCGCCCCGGGGGTCATTGACTTTATATATGTGTATAGCAAAAACTTAAAAAGTATTCTTTGAAAAAAGCTAAATAGCTAGAGTTTAGATATTAAGCATGAAACATCTTCTAGTGAGTGTCTACAAATTTTGTTCAAATAAAAGCCCTGGAGTCAAAATTGGCCCTGCCCCAGGGGTCATTGATTTTCCTTATATGTGTATAGGAAAAACTTAAAAATCTTCTATGAAAAAACCCAAATAGCTAGAGTTTAGATATTAAGCATGTAACATGTTCTAGTAAGTGTCTACAAACTTTGTTCAAATAAAAGCCCTGGGGTCAAAACTGGCCCGGCCCCAGGGGTGTCATTGTTTTTAACTATATGTGTATAAAAAAAAACTTAAAAAATCTTCTTTTAAAAAACCCAATGAGCTAGAGCTTAGATGTTTAGCATGAAACATCTTCTAATGGGTGTCTACCTTTAGTTTGTTCAAATAAAAGCCCTTGGATAAAATTGGCCCTGCCAGGGGTGGGGAAGGGCTCCGCTCTGGGGGCCTACATACAGGTGAGCGACCTCAGGGCCATGATCGCCCTCTGAACGAGAAAACAACAACATCTAAACCACTTGTTCAATTTTGAAATAATTCTACACAAAAATTTCCTTGGTGACAGTGTACAAAAATGTTCAGATTAAGATGTCCCTTGTATTCAAATGTGCTTCTGGGGTGAAAAAGGGCTCCACTTTGACCTTTTGACCTATAATAAGTGGAGCGATCCAGGGCCCTCTGGGCCCTCATGTTTAATGGATTGTCTTCAAAATTGAACATAATAATCTTTTAGGATAACCCTTTAAGTTAACCAGACAGACCTTACACTTAACTTATGAATGACCTTGACTTTGACGGTCAAATTATTAAATTTTCCTTTTTTTGGTGTAACTGGCTGTAACTTTGTTATTATTGAATAGATTGACTTCATATTATAACAGAACATTCTTTAGCATAAGACATTTATGTATATCAAACTCAAATTGACCATGGCTCTTTTATGACCTTGAAGGTTAAATTATTGAATTTTCACTGATTTTTGCTTTAATTGACTGTAACTTAGTAATTAATAAATGTGTTATCTTCATTCTTTGACAAAATTTTGAACAAGACCTTCTGAAAGGTTGAACTGACCTTGACCTTAAAATGATGTTGAATGTCAAGGTCAAATTATTGAATTCTGTGTAATATTGTCATAATTTTGTCTGTCTGTCAGTTCATCTGTCCATCCGCATTGAGCTTGTCCGGCTTTCACAGGTTAAACTGCTGGAAGGATTTCAATAAAACTTCACCAGTATTATGTGTCGCTGGCACATATAGCTCCGCTGCAAAAAATGGCCGCCAGAACTATAAAAAGAAAAATCTTGTTACAGGTCAAACTGTTGGCAAGATTTCAATGAAACTGCACAGGAGTGATCAGTACTGTCTGTAGTTGAGCATATAGCCGGCATGTCACATGTGACATGGTGAGCTTTTCCGAGTGAGTGTGATCGCTTTTCGTCCGGCTCCCATCTGGCCGACCGTCCTTGAACTTTTACTTTAAACATCATCTCCTCATAAACTGCCAAGCCAATTTCATCCAAACTTCCCAGGAATGGTCCTTTGGTGGTCAACTTCAAAAATTGTTCAAAGAATTTAATTCCAAGTTGCCATGGCAAGCGAAAGAAAAAACTTAAGATATCTTCTTTTAGAAACCCGAAAGAGCTTAGCAGAGCTTAAATATTTGGCATGAAACATCATCTAGTCAGTATCTACCAAGTTTGTTCAAATAAATGCTCTGGGATCAAAATTGGCTCTCCCGGGGTGTTCCTTATTTGTATATAATAAAAACTTAAAAATCTTCTTTTAAAAAAGCCAAATAGCTAGAGCTTAGATATTAAGCATGAAACATCTTCTAGTGGGTGTCTACCAAATTTGTTCAAATAATAGCCCTGAGGTAAAAGTTTGCCCCGCCCCAGGGGGTCATTGATTTTCCTTATTTGTAAATAGTAAAAACTTAAAAAGTCTTCTTTTAAAAAAACCAAAATAGCTGGAGCCATAAACATCTTCTAGTGGGTGTCTACCAAGTTTGTTCAAATAAAAGCCCTGGGATAAAAATTGGCCCAGCCGGAGGTGGGGGGGGGGGGAATTTTTTCCCCTTTATGTATATAGCAAAAACTCTTCTTTTAAAAACCCCAAAGAGCTAGATATTTATCATTGAACATCTTCTAATGAGTGTCTATCAAGTTTGTTCAAATAAAAGCCCCTGGTCTAAAATTGGCCTTGGCTCAGGCGAGCGATTTCAGGGCCATTATGGCCCTTTTGTTGTTTGTAGTTTTGGTTTCCGTATTACAAATTCTATAATACAAAAGAGCTTGATTTTATTGATGTGTTTAAACCATTCTTAGCTTCCATAACTTAGTGAATGGATAATCTGTGTCAGAAACTTTGTGACTGACAAGAATCTTGGGCTTTGTGCATTTGTTTTTACCAAATACATTTTTGTTTGTTGTTACTTTGATTATAAACTAAAATTCTGAATATATCATATTTCACAGAGAATAATTTAATGTAAATAATACCATATCAAGTTAAATGAATTATAAGATATCTTTATATTGATGTGTATTATAGGTATCACAAAGAGTTTGGATTCACAATTACAGATAGACCTATTATTGTTGATGATATAAGGATCCGTGGTGTTGGGAAGGCATTTATGCAGGTTGAAAATAATATCCCAAATGCTACTGGACTTCCTCCTGTGGAATTGGTCAGTGCTTTTCAGAATAAATTTATCACTTAAGGCCAACATTTTTTTATAAAACTAACTAAATTTTACGGGACCGCCGACCGTTTTTTTTTAGAGAAAATCAAATAAAAACAAAAGTTAATTTTAAAACTTTTATTATGCCACTGCAGCATCTGCAATGCGGTGGCATATAGCGATTCACCTGTGTTTATGTGTGTGTGTTTGTATGTATGTGTGTTCTATAGATTATATAGTGAACTTAAAAATCTTCTTGTGAAAAATCACTAGTCCAATTTCAACCAAACTTGGCAGGATTGATCCTTGGGTGAAGAGCTTCCAAAGTTGTTCAAAGAATTTCATTCCATTGAGAAATCTGGTTGCCATGGCAACCAAAAGTTATTATAAGAATAAATTTAAAAAATCTTCTTGTAAAGACCCAAAAGGCCTAGAGATTATATATTTTGCGTAAAGCATTGTCTGGTAGACCTCTACCAAGATTGTTCAAATTATAGCCCTGGGGTCAAAATTGGCCTGCCTGGGGGTCATTGATTTTCACTATATGTACATATAGTAAAAACTTAAAATACCTTCTTGTCTGAAGGTACAAGGCTTAGAGGTTTGATATTTGGTATGTGATATCATCTATACATACTCTACCAAAGTTGTTCAGATTTTGCCTCTAGTGTCAAAATCAGCCCCGCCCCGGCGGTCATAGGTTTCCTTATATGTATATAGTAAAAACTTTCTTCTCAAAATTGACAAATGCTGGAGGTTAGATATTTTGCATGACACAAAAAAAGGAGGAAATCCCATAAACCGATTGGTTTATGTGGAGTTATGTGGTAATTTTACTGGTTTATGGGGAAAAATGCCACATTCAAAGAAAAAGCTCATAAATCCTAAATGTTGGCACATCCATCCTACCACATTTAGCTTGTCCGCCTTCACAGGTCAAACTACTGGTGGGATTTCAACCAAACTTAACAGGAGTGATCAGTACCATCCCTAGTTGTGCACATCATTATCACGTTCCACTTCCCTGCACAAAATTGCCACCAGAGCTAAAAATAGAAAAATCTTGTCCGGCCTTCACAGGTCAAACTACTGGTGGGATTTCAACCAAACTTTACAGGAGTAATCAGTACCATCCCTAGTTGTACACAATACCGGCACGTTCAGCTTCGCTGCACAAAATGACCGTCATAGCTATAAATAGAAAAATCTTGTCTGGCTTTGAATATACTGGTCAATTAAGCTACTGATCGGATTTCAATGAAACCTCACATGAGTAACCATCCATAGTTTTTGGAGACATATGTTTTTGTGACAAAAACCCTTATAGTTTATTTTGCTTGACAGGTCAAACTACTAGTGGGATTTCAACCAAACTTTACAGGAGTGATCAGTACCATCTGTTTTTGTGTACATCACCAGCAAACTACTGGTGGGATTTCAATCAAACTTTACAGGAGTGATCAGTACTGGTTGTGCACATCACCTGAAAGTTCTGTTTCCCTGCACAAATTGCCGCCACAGCTACAAATAGAAAAATCTTATCTGTCTTTCACAGGTCAAACTACTGGTGGGATTTCAACCAAGCTTTACAGGAGTGATCAGTATAATCCCTAGTTATACATATCACCGGCATGTTCTGCTTCGCTGCACAAAATGGTCGCCACAGCTTATAATAGAAAAATCTTGTTCACAGGTCAAACTACTGGTGGGATTTTAACCAAACTTCACAGGAGTAATCAGTACCATCTTTTGTTGTGCATATCGCCAGCATGCACGTTTAACTTTGCTGCACAAAATGGCTGTCAGAGCTATAAATAGAAAAATCTTGTTTAGCTTTCACAGATAGAACTGCTGGTTAGATTTCAATGAAACTTCACGGGAGTGAACAGTGCCATCCCTAGGTGTATGTTAAGTTTCACTGCACAAAATGGCTCCCAGAGTTAAAAATAGAAAATTCTATCAGGTCTGCTGAAACTGCTGGCTGGTTTTCCGCCAAAATTCACGGGTCGAGTGACCAGAACCATACACAGTTTTGGGAGACATATGTTTTTTTGACAAAAACCCTTCAAGTTCATTATATGGCCTTCACCTTTATTTGATAAAAAAATCTTTGAAGTTTGCTGGTATTGTCATTACTTTGTTATTTTTTACAGATTTGATTTATGCTTGGACAAACAAACACAAAACCAACATGTTGAATTATTCTGATATAACTTTCACCTTTAACTGACCATTACCTCCAGGGTTAAACAATTGAAATTTGCTCAAATTGTCATAACTTTGTTTTTTGTCAATGATTTGATTCACTCTTGGACAAAAGAACACTTAGGACAAAACATGATCATTCATTCAACTATGACCTTTACTTAAATGTGTTGACAGTAAGGTCAAATTTGAAATTTACTTTATACATTTATATTATTAGTCCCCTACCGGTTTAACCGGAGGGGACTTTAGGTTTACCCTCCGTTCGTCTGTCTGTCCGCACTCACAGGACAGTAATTAAGTGGCTAGAGGGACAATAGGTAACTGTTCTTTCTCTTTGATGTCATTCATTCCGTAATGCTTTTATGTGGCTATTTTCTTTTGCGTGGCTAAAAAGAACAATAGAGAGAACAATAGAGTAGCCACATAATAACTTTCCAGTGAGAACGTCCTCTGTCCATCCGTCTGTCTGTCAGTCCGTCTGTCCACAAAACTGGATCCCTGGATAATGCAAAAAGTACTAAAAATATTTTTATGAAACTTGATATATGGATAGATGGCAGTATGGAGATTATGCATGTGTTTTTCTTTTCTTCTTATGTTGAAAATTCTGGTTGCTATGGCAACAAATAGTCTGAAAATATGGCAAATTTAACACATAAGCTGGATCCAGTGATAACTCAAAAAGTACTGAAAATATTTTTTAACCAGGTTTTCCGAAGGAAAAAACTGGTTATTAGATTGAGGTATGTCGGCGGGCGGGCGGGCGTAAACAATTTCTTCTGTGCGCAACTCCTTCTACATTTCTCAACGGATTTTGACCAAACTTTCACAGAAGCTTTGTCATCAAGTGCCCTGGCGCATATTGTCGGGGTTTTGCGATTGGATAATATTTGACCTAATTATGGCCCTTTGTTTTATTTCCTTATATAGAATATATAGTGAACAATTTCTTCTGTGCGCAACTCCTCCTACATTTCTCAACGGATTTTGACCAAACTTTCACAGAAGCTTTGTCATCAAGTGCCCTGGGGCATATTGTCGGGGTTTTGCGATTGGATAATATTTGACCTAATTATGGCCCTTTGTTTTTTTTTCCTTATATAGAATATATAGTGAACAATTTCTTCTGTGCGCAACTCCTCCTACATTTCTCAACGGATTTTGACCAAACTTTCACAGAAGCTTGTCATCAAGTGCCCTGGGGCATATTGTCGGGGTGTTGCGATTGGATAATATTTTACCTAATTATGGCTCTTTGTTTTTTTTCCTTATAAAGAATATATAGTGAACAATTTCTTCTGTGCGCAACTCCTCCTACATTTCTCCACGGATTTTGACCAAACTTTCACAGAACCTTTGTCACCAAGTGCCCTGGTGCATATTGTTGGGGTTTTGCGATTGGATAATATTTGACCTAATTATGGCCCTTTGTTTTTTTTCCTTATATAGAATATATAGTGAACAATTTCTTCTGTGCTGAACTCCCTCTACAATTCTCAACGGATTTTGTTCAAACTTTCACAGAAGCTTTGTCATCAAGTGCCCTGGGGCATATTGTCAGGGTTTTGTGATTGGATAATATTTGACCTAATTATGGCTCTTTGTTTTTTTCCTTATACAGAATTATCAATATATAGTGAACAAATTCTTCTGTGCTGAACTCGTCCTACATTTCTCAACGGATTTTGTTCAAACTTTCACAGAAGCTTTGTCATCAAGTGCCCTGGCACATATTGTCTGGGTTTTGTGATTGGATAATTTTTGACCTAATTATGGCCCTTTGTTTTTTTAACCAGGTTTTCCGAAGGAAAAAACTGGTTATTAGATTGAGGTATGTCGGCGGACGGGCGGGCGTAAACAATTTCTTCTGTGCGCAACTCCTCCTACATTTTTCAACGGATTTTGACCAAACTTTCACAGAAGCTTTGTCATCAAGTGACCTGACGCATATTGTCGTAGTTTTGTGATTGGATAATATTTGACCTAATTATGGCCCTTTGTTTTTTTTCCTTATATAGAATATATAGTGAATAACTTCTTCTGTGCCCAACTGTTCCTACATTTCTCAATGGATTTTGACCAAACTTTCACAGAGGCTTTGTCATCAAGTGACCTGGCGCATATTGTAGGGGTTTTGTGATTGGATAATATTTGACCTAATTATGGCCCTTTGTTTTTTTTCCTTATATAGAATATATAGTGAATAACTTCTTCTGTGCCAAACTGTTCCTACATTTCTCAATGGATTTTGACCAAACTTTCACAGAGGCTTTGTCATCAAGTGCCCTGGCGCATATTGTCGGGGTTTTGTGATTGGATAATATTTGACCTAATTATGGCCCTTTGTTTTTTTTCCTTATATAGAATATATAGTGAATAACTTCTTCTGTGCCCAACTGTTCCTACATTTCTCAATGGATTTTGACCAAACTTTCACAGAGGCTTTGTCATTAAGTGCCCTGGCGCATATTGTCGGGGTTTTGTGATTGGATAATATTTGACCTAATTATGGCCCTTTGTTTTTTTTCCCAATATAGGATATATAGTGAACGATTTTCTGTGCGCAACTCCTCCTACATTTCTCAACGGAATTTGACCAAACTTTCACAGAGGCTTTGTCATCAAGTGCCTTAGGGCATATTGTCAGGGTTTTGTGATTGTATAATATTTGACCTAATTATGGCCCTTTGTTTTTTTTCCTAAGTATACAGATTATATAGTGAACAATTTTTACCATGCGCAACTTCTCCTACATTTCTCAACAGATTTTGACCAAACTTTCACAGAGGCTTTGTCATCAAGTGCCCTGGCGCACATTATCGGGGTTTTGTGATTGGATAATATTTGACCTAATTATGGCCCTTTGTTATTTTTCCTTATACAGAATATATAGTGAAAAAATTCTTCTGTGCTGAACTCCTACATTTTTCTCAACGGATTTTGTTCAAACTTTCACAGTAGCTTTTTTTATCCAGTGCCCTGCGCGCATATTGTCGGGGTTTTGTGATTGAAATAATTTTTATTTAATTATGGCCCTTTTTTTTTTTCCTTATACAGAATATAATTATAGTGAACACTTCCTCTGTGGCAATTCCTCATACATTATTCATGTTTTACATTGCACATAGTTACATTGTTTGTTGCTTGTATTTGTATTTTCAAATACAACATATTTATCTACAATGGTGGTAATTGAAAACCTGGTTTTTGGCATTGCCATTTTTCTTGTATGAAACCTGAAATATGGGTAGATGGCAGTCTGGAGATTATGCACATCTTTTTCTTTTCTTCCTATGTTGAAAATTCTGGTTGCTATTGGCAACAAAATAGTCTGGAAATATGGGCAAATTAAACACATAAACTGGATCCAGCGATAACTCAAAAAGTACTGAAAATATTTTTATGAAACTTGATATATGGGTAGATGGCAGTCTGGAGATTATGCACATCTTTTTTTTTCTTCCTATGTTGAAAATTCTGGTTGCTATGGCAACAAATAGCCTGAATTTCAAAGATTTCTGATTTAAATTTTTCAGCTTTTTCACTGTAAGTTCTTTATTTCTTAAGGTGTTTACTTCAAACTTTAAATATAAGTTTCTGGTCATAAACCACATCATATGTGACAAGGTTTACAACTCTAGCACAAAAATTATCAGAAAGAATTACCTCCTTGAACTCAGAATTTTTATGGAAAAAAATGTTGTCTTTTTTTAAATAACTTCTTTATTTTCCTAATGTATCTACTTCAAACTTCACTATATATGTTCTTAGTTATCACTGGCAACTTTTTGAGAATTAAAATACCCTAGCAAAGACTATTTTCCCCAGAATAATGTTCCCCCTTGAACCTTATTATTTTTTCTGAGAAATTGGGGTATTTTTACTTTCCAAACCCCTTTTCTTCAATCAATTAAATCCGGATATTTAACTATTGTATGGAGTTATAAATATAAACCGCGGGTAACACAGAATATTGATGGAAATGTGCAATTCAATTTTAACCCTGAAAGATGAAGAAACATGACAAGTGATCTGTTAACTTAAAGTCATATCTTGAAGTTTCATAAAAGTTGTCTAATTATCACAGTAATTCCGTGTATTATTAACTAAGGGGAAACTTAACAACATTAAACTGTGATATAGACAAATTAGAACTCAAAAGATTTAAGTTCAGTCATGTCATTCATTCACTGGTAAAATTGAATGGCCAATGGCCCATCAGAATGTTGCTGGGGTTCTTACCGGTAGGGGACTTATGGATTGCTTGCAATACTATGATAATTGCTTGTGCTTTCTAGGAGTACTCTAATAGATATTACAATATTCTCCTACTGATGTGTTTGACTTTCAATATAAGAAAAAGCCAAGCATGGCCCAAGCTAGATAGTGGCTCTTGTTTTCAATGCCAACTTGATTATATGTATCCATTCCAATTTACATTCTCACATGTATTATCTATTGTGCTTGAAAGGTTTCTACAAAAATAAGTTTGTTTTTACAGTCCTGGTTTTATTTTAGATATATTTTATAGACAGTTAAATTTTCTATTTATTTTCTATTTGCATAATCATTTCTTGGAATAAATATGGTATTTACACTGATTTATGTGTTGTACACTCACATATGGAAGTCCTTTGCATGAAAATTGGTTGAAAGAAAAATTAAGATAAACTTAAACGACTATCGATTATTGTTTCCCAAGAAATTCAAATGTCACATTTTGAAATGTTTACTTACGATATATATGATCTCAACTATGCATTTTGCCTGGGTTTGTAGTACATGATTTTCAATTTTGACACGAATTTCGAGGCATTACTTTTATATTGTATACTTAAAGCCTGTTCAAACATTATATCGTTAATGTATCTTTAAAAAATAAGTCTGATAAGTTGGACTAAACTGTAGATCAAAATGAACACCCTATTGACAAAGTGATGTGCCAGATTTGTGTTAGTTCTATTTATCTTGTCTGATCATCATTTTCAGGTAAGCCAGTGTTACTTTGACAATGGTTGGCTAAAGACAAATGTATACATATTGGAAAATTTACGGGCTGGTCATCTCATTGATGGTCCAGCTATCATCATGAATGGAAACAGGTTTGTATTGATATTGTGTTTTCATTAAGATAGGTTCTTATTTATAAAGTCTGGTTAATTTTTGACCATCCCTTGTATTAACATATCACGAAGTGATTCAACTGTATAAAATTTACTTATCAGTTATGAAGAAAAATTAATTGAATAGCATAAAGTAACATACATTGTAGGTATACATAGGTTAATATCTTCAAGGTCATATCACTAAAGATGATAAGTTATGAAGATTTTGTCCAGAACATATCTCATACATATATGGGGGGATTTTAGTGAAACTTCATTGAAATATTCACCACTATGAGAAAGTTCTGGCAACCTCCTATTTAATAAGATAAAGATGAAAAGTGTAAGTTATAAGGCAAAATTATTATTATTAATATATCACAAAGTGATTCAACCCTATAAAATTTACATATCAGTTATGAAGGAAAAAAGAATTGAATAAAAAAAAGTAATTAATTTGGTACTGTTGGCCTAGTGGTTAAGGCGTCCGCCTTTGGATCAGGAGCTCGAAGGTTCGAGGCCTATTGGGAGCATTAATTGGAGGATAATTGTTTCTCGTGGGACTTGTTCCTAAATGGCTGCTTCGTGAGCCGCGAGGTAGTTAAAATGAATGATTATCGATTTCTATCTGCCTTATTGGGCGCCTGGCAAAGTGTTAGGAGTTGGGAGGTACATGGTATGCATGCAAAAGGTGTAGAGACACTTTAATAGACAAGACCTTTACCTTTTACATTGAATATCAATATCTGGTAAAAAGTGTTCCCTCAAAAGCATTAAAAACTGCAAAATTATGTATTAGTTTTTTCTAATATTTTATGCCCCTCTTCAAAGAAGAGGGGGTATATTGTTTTGCTAATGTCAGTCTGTCGGTCGGTCTATCCGACCACATAGCTTCCCCTAATTATCTTGAAAACTATTTATCACAAAGTCTTCATATTTCACATAGTGATTGGTCATAAGTAGTAGATGACCCCTATTGATTTTGGGATAACTAGGTGAAAGGTCAAGATCACAGGGACCTTAAAGTATTCATCACAAAATATTCATATTTCACATAGTGATTGGTCATAAGTAGTAGATGGCCCCTATTGATTGTGGGGGGTCACTAGGTCAAAGGTCACAGGGGCCTTAAATGTCAGAATGGTTTCCGTTGATTATCTTAGTTACAATTCATCACAAAGTCTTCATGTTTAACATATTGATAGGTCATAACTAGTAGATGACCCATACCGATTTAAGGGTTACTCGGTCAAAGGTCAACGTCACAGGGGCCTTGAATGTCAGAATAGTTTCCACTCATTATCTTGATTACAATTCATTATAAAGTCTTCATACTTCACATATTGATAGGTCATAACTCAGTGTTTTACCTACTTTTCATAACAGACTCCGAAAAAAGGCCTCTTCCCAATTGAAATTTTCTTTAAAATCATGCAGTTTTCCCAAAAATCTGAACTTAAACTAGCTTTTTTACTTCCCAAATCAGCAATTTTAGCGATAATTTTCTCCAAAATCAAGAGGCTCAGGCCTCTTCCCAATTAAGAGAGAAAAATCACTGTTAAACTAGTAGATCACCCTTATTGATTTAAGGGTCAAAGGTCAAGGTCACAGGGGCCTCTAATGTCAGAATGGTTTCTGCTCATTATCTTGAAAAGTTTTCATCATAAAGTCTTCATAATTCACATACTGATTTGTCATAACTAGTAGATGACTTCTATTGATTTTTGGGTCAATAAGTCACAAGTCAAGGTCACAGGGGCCTTAAATGTCAGAATGGTTTCCGGTCATTATCTTGGTTACAATTCATCACAAAGTCTTCATATTTCACATATTAATTGTTCATTACTATTAGATGACCCCAATTGATTTGGGGGTCACTAGGTAAAAGGTCAAGGTTACTGGGTCCTTGAATGTTGGTAGTATGATTTCAGCTCAAAACAGAATGATTTCCGCTCATTATCTTGAAAAGTATTCATCATAAAGTCTTCATAATTCACATAGTGATTGGTCATAACTAGTAGATGACCCCTATTGATTTTGGTGTCACTAGGTCAAAGGTAAAGGTCACAGGTGCCTTAAATGTCAGAATGGTTTCCGCTCATTATCTTAGTTACAATTCATCACAAAGTCTTCATATTTCACATATAAATACACCGATAAACACTTTCAGAACTAGCAGACGACAGGCTATTCTTATCAGTAGTATTTCGAGTAAAGATAACGGTTTGGGTATCTCACTGTATATATCGTATGTAAAATGGTCTGACATATGGTAGGTTTAACAGTTAAATTAAATACTATGCAGTCCAGAGATGTGTTGAATTTTATACTGTGATGAAGCTAAGATCCAAAGCTTTCTATTGGTGTAAAATATTTTAAAATCGGACATTTAATCACAGCAAACTAGAGGTTTAAAAACAGCTTATTTTGTATTGTTTTAGCATAAGCGATATCGATTTTACTCGAAGGTAAGGGAAGCAACACGTATTTTTTCACTCGATACACCTCGGTTATTTACGTAGATCATATTGAAAGTGTTTATGGGTGTATTGTTCATAACTATTAGATGACCCCTATTGATTTTGGGGTCACTAGTAAAATTTCAAGAGCACAGGATGGAATGTCAGAATGGTTTCTGCTCATTATCTTGAAAAGTATTCATCATAAAGTCTTCATAATTCACATAGAGATTGGTCATTACTAGTAGATGACTTGTTGATTTTGGGGTCAAAAGTCAAGGTCACAGGGGCCTTAAATGTCAGAATGATTTCCGCTCATTATCTTGGTTACAATTCATCACAGTCTTTAATTTTACATATTAATTGTTCATAACTATTAGATGACCCCTATTGATTTTGGGGTCACAAGGTAAAAGGTCAAGGTCACAGGGTCTTTGTATGGTAGTTTGATTTCAGCACATTATCTTGAAAGATAATTATCACAAAGTCTTCATATTATACATAGTGATTGGTCATAACCAGCAGATGACCAGTAATGCTTTTGGGGTCATTAGTTCAAAGGTCACAGTCACAGGGCCTTAAATCACAAAGTCTTCATATTTCACATACTGATTTGTCATAACTAGTAAGTGACCCCTATTGATTTTGGGGTCACTAGGTCAAAGGTCAAGGTCACAGGGTTCTTGAATGTTAGTATTGTTTCTGCTCATTATCTTGAAAGCTATTTATCACAAAGTCTTCATATTTCGATTATTGATTTGTCATTACTATTAGATGATATGGTCACAGGGGCCTTATATGTCAGAATGGTTTCCGCTCATTATCTTGAAAACTATTTATCATAAAGTCTTCATTATTTTTCTTTTTTCTATAATTGAACACTTCCATGTACCCATTTATGGCAAGATTCTATAACAAAATTACCAATAATGTGAGTCAAGGGCTAGAAAGGGGGGCATATGTGTCATTCATCATTTCTTGTTATGAATTTGTTTCTTGCATATAACATAGGATGTTCTAGCATTTTCATATGGGCTGGGAAATGCTTATCCCTTATTTGACATCATTTCATGAAGTATGAGGCCTAGAAAGCATTAATTATAATAAGATTTACAAGGGAAAGAATCAAACACTGGTGGTCAGTACAGACAGGACCATCTGACTGTGGGTAACTACTAAGCTGTTACTCGACATAGCCTCGCTTTCAGGACCATTGTATCTTTACATACATATTGTCAGTGACTTTTATACGCCTGTTTGAAAAACGTGTCGTGTAATAGGTTCTCTTGTGGCCGACGGGCAGTGTCCAATTTTTGTCTGGAGCATATCTCCTACATGCATCGAGGAATTTTGATGAAATTTCATAGAAATGTTCACCACTTTGAGAAGCTGTGTCGCGCACATGAACCAGGTCTCAAGGTCAAAGGTCACACTAAGAGGTCATTGAAAAAAGCTTGTCCGCAGCAAAACTTGTACATGCATAGAGGGATTTCAATGTAACTCAGTGGCACAAATGTTCACAATTGTGAGGCAATATATCATGTGCAAAATTTAGGTCCCTGCGGCCAAGGTCAAGGTCACATATAGAGGTCAAGGTTCAGATGAAAATTTGAAAATGTGAATTATGACCATTTAGTCATAATTTATCGCGGGATTGAAACACAAATGTCATTATCATTACTACAGGTGTGAAACATGTAATTTAGGTTAATATATGCAAGGTCAAGGTCACTTAAGATGATAAAATATAGAGATTTTGTCCAGAGCATATCTCCTACACATATGGAGGGATTGTAATTATACTTCATAGAAATGTTCACCACTTTGATAAGCAGTGCCATGTGCATGAACCAGGTCTCTTGGTCAAAGGTCAAGGTCACAATTAGAGGTACAGTCAAACTTGCCATAGCGACTCACTGATTTAAACGACTTCCTGTCGTATAGGACCTTATTTTAGACCGCCCAACGTATGTCACTATATAAAATTAAAGTCACTGAATTAAACGACTCCCTGTCTGACGCGACTAACGACCTTAAATTTAGCGTCCCGTTACATTTCTTTGACCGAATTAAACGATTTTTTCATTTTCACAAGAATTATGTTTTTCACACTTCACGCTTTCAATTGACATTTGTCCGTCCGCGTCAAAATTGAGCGCCATAGTCTCGAATGTTTATCACCATTGCAAAAGGTGTTAATTCAGCATTGTCACTATTTTAAGCCATAGCATTGAAACTGCTGTGTATTAAGATAGCAATACGAAGTTATTAGTCATAATAACTGTCCAAGTTTAAAAAAAAAAAAATCGACAACCGTCTGACAACGTGCGGATAGAACCGGATAGGACGTGCGGATAGAAACATGTACAAACATCCGGGCACTTCAGATCATACAAATATGGCTGACAAAGCACATAAAAAAAGAATTGTCCTGACTCTTGAAGAAAAAATTCAGGCCAATAAAACATAACCAAATTTGCATGACCAAGAAACAGACAACAATGTTGGATTTTTTCAACAGAGATAGAAGATGACCAG